ATTTTTATCCGCAGTGAATTCGTTTTTCTAGATATCGTTAGTTGGCAGATTCGCATATTTCGAACTTTCAGATTTATAAGAATGATTTCTATGAAAATGAACCTTTTTGCTATGTTAACCTCATTATTCTCCATAATTATACAACTTGCATTGTTGGTGCATTATCGTCGGTTACCACGTGAAAAAAGTGAGTTATTTTTGTAAGCGTTCCATTTTTCTTGCTTTGGTAGATCTACAGCATACGCCCATCTAACTTCTTTAAAAATAAGTTTCAACGGTTTTTCAAAAAGTGCAGAATCAATAATAGTGGTTATAATAGTGTGTTGCGCATGGTGCTGTTTGGTATATTTACTCTATTCCTACCGTAGTCGCTTAGAGAAAGCTACCTTGCGAATTGGATATATTAGGTCATTCCGAAAGTGATTTCGCTTTTTTCAAACAGACGCCACATTTGATGGAACAAAGATTTCTAAGAGGTCTATTCGATGCAGCATTTCATCCTCTATCTAAAAGTAATGAAAACATTGTAGAGAAAATAATCAAAATCTACGACCCATGCTTTTTGAGATGGTCAAGTTTCATAATTTCTTAAAACCTTTATATCAACCCTCAGAAGGAATTCAAGTAATGATTCATAGAACAAACCTTATAGAATACAGTGCAACTTTCTTTTCTTTTCCATTGCTCGCCGTAATTTTTTAAAAGATTTTCAAACAAAACGATCGGATTTTGGCAGGCCTACATCAGTCACAGTCGCATCAAACTCTAATTCGGAATTTGAGACTACCAAGATGGTACTATGTGTTAGCACTAATTTTACAAAGCTAGTGAGAGTTTACGGATTCGAAATATCAAATTTCGAGTATTTCGAGTACAGCCTGGGCTCGTTCAAAAAAAAATGAGTTATGATGATTTATCCCCAAAAACTAAACGAATTGGAAATAAAAGTACCCGTTAGAAAGAGGAGCAAATCCTGCATTGAATATGGCTTGAGCTCCTCTTCCTATGATGTTCTATGAGGATTTAGCTATCCAAGAAAGGAAATCGGTAGCGCCAGTCGAAATTCTGTTAAAATGTATGACAAGGTACGGAATGACAAAAAAAGTTAATTTGCAATCTGTAGGATTTGCTCTATAAAATCGCTACTTGTACATTTTTAGAGGTTGATACAAAATTTCAGAAAAATTCTGAAAATTGACCATCTCAAATAGCATAGGCCGCAGATTTTGGTTATTTTCTGAAAGCCCATTGATTGTGTTGCATCAGTTTTATAACCCTAGAAAGAGGATGAGCTGCATCGAACGCTACCAAGATCTCATAGAAATCTTTGTTCAATCAAATGCTGCGCCCGAAAAAGCGAAATTACTTTCAGTGACCTAATAAATTCGTTGCGTTTGTATAAACCAACGAAATGAATAATTTCCATCCAATCACTTAAAATATTTTTTTTGCTTTATCGCACGACATATTCTTCCCTAAAGTGCAATGCGTCTGGTCCCAAAAAGGTCCTCTAGCCAGTGCCCTAAATTTTCTTAATCGAAACAAGCATAGTATATATGGTTTGAAACAAATAATCTGATGGGTGGGAGATGCGGATGTTTGAAAGTGGATTATGGCTAACCGTTTTCATTCTTGTCCAGCAATTTCGGTGCAAAACATCCGCCAGATTCATAAAAGGTTACAAACCTCTTGTGCAAGGAGAATCTGTTAAATCTTGGCCTTTTGGATCAAGCCAATTCCTTTTTTGTTTCATATTGAACCGCGAATTCTGTTTTCTATAGTCGACAACAAATATGTGCAAAAAAGCTTCCAAAAACATGTGCCAAAAGTGCTTCTATTGCCTCATGATTGTGAGAATTATCATTAAAAGATGAGAAATCAAAGTAGATCAGCTTTCCATCGAAATTAACTAAATTAACAACTTTGAAGAGTATGGTCGGCTGTTTTCAATGATCGCTTTATCAAGAGCTTCTCAAAGAATTGAGGTGCGAACTCATGAAAAAAAACCATAGTTTTTCTCAGCATGCCTAGTAACTTTTGCAAATTTCTAATCGAATTTATGATAATTGGACTTTTGCAGGTAGCGTTACTGTTAAGTATAGTTATCATAATCGAAAACGCTAATTGAGGGATGTAAAATTGCGAAATCGAAGACATGGCAACATAAAGGCAGTGTCCCGGCAGATTTCGCTTTTCCATCTTTTTGCATGTTTTGGGCCTTTTCGACCCGTAGACTCCGAATTTGAGCTTTGAAACGTGAAAAGGCCTTTTTCTGGGCGTTTACCCAATTTTTAAGAAGCAGTTCGGACGAGAGTTTTAATGGGAAGTTGCGAGGTCCTAGCCGAAGACCCTGCTGCCTGTAATTTTTGCTTTGGATAGCATGCAAAATGTGAGAGAGCGGTCATGGGGTCCCGCGCCGAACGGTAAGCAACGTCCAGCGCGCCGATTGGGGTTGCGCGCGCCGGTTCGAGGGCCATTTTCTCTGCCCAGAGGGAACATCAACCAGCCGGACTGCACCTGGAGGTCAGGGGGATGACCAGGAACCCGACCATAGCAATATCCCCCAGGGCGCGAATCTGCTGGGACACTGCCGATAAGGTCAAAATTCAAAATTCTTGACCAAGAGTTTAACTTCGGGCAAAAATTCAGCGAGGTGAATGAAGCGCGATAAGATTGTGAATTTTCCTAGCAATACATCGTATGTGTACGTTGTGTTTGAGGGGATATTAGGTTGGCTAAATACTAATCTCTTTGTCAAATACGATGTGGACTGCCCAAAAAAATGATCTTCATGCGCAAATGTCTGGAAATCCTCACTTTTTTGGCTGCAGGAATTCATAAAGCGCAGATCACACTCTTCATTGTAGTTAGCCATGTGTCCAAAGGCAGTATGTATCCAGTCACTAAAAAACTCGTCTTTGCACCCACTCCAGCTTGGAAATGAAACTTAAAAACTGAAATAGTGATTTTCCGGAAAGACTATGGCTATATAGGGATGTAAGTGCTTACAGCTGACAGAAAATGTTGAGTGAAAGGTATATGATAGTACCAGTGGCAGTTCCAGGATTCCCGTCCGGGAAGGGGGGGGGGGGGCGGCAAAATTAGCCATGCACTCTGAAAAAATTTTTGGGTGCATCTCAAAATTTTTTCGGGCCCATGACAATGAAATCCAGAAAAAGGGACGTGGCGTCAGCTACGATCTGGAAAAAATTTTTTTACAGGGCTCACTTGGATTTTTAAAAAATTTAAAAAATTATCTTAATAATTGTCAAATATAAACAAGTCATTTGCACATTTTTATAACTCACTTTAGTATATTTCAAGAATAACACGACCCATTCTCGGGGAAGGGGGGGGGGGCAAAGCACCCGTATTTTCCTCCAGAACTTTCAAATGAGAGCGCCGAGGTTCACGCTGCCCATTCTTCTTCCTATTTAAAGCTGGTAGTCAATCGAATCTTTTTATGGCCAGAGTCCCCCCGCCCCCTCCTCAAACCGCCACTGGATAGTACAGGCTTGAAACTTCCTTCTCACAAAAAGCCTAGAAGGGAGGGTTTTGACCGAGTCAGATTTTCCACCGAGATGTATATATCATCCAAAAGATTTTTAGCTGCTTATTCAAAAATTTGTCCATTATCGCTTATAATTACTGAACAAAATTAGAGGTATTTTTCTGCTTCCAAAAGTGGTCAGGTATTGTCTAAGAGACCTAAATCCTTAGTAATTTTCTCCAAACTTACATGAAGAAGTCTGAGATATAATTACTGTACTTAGAAAATCAATGGGAATATGCTACCTTAGCTTTGCAATAAAAAAGTAAATCCATTGTCCTCTGGGCCCAAACAAATGCTTGTAACTTTGTTCGCTAAAATAAACAAACATAGAAAGCATTAATCGGCATCTCAAGGGAGGAGGGGGAGGGGTGGGGACATTATAGTATACAACTGGTGGAGATAGGCCACTTCGAGATACTTTCACTGTTTAGATGAATATCAAATACCTGGACTTGTATAGAGACTCAAATCCGCATTCCAGAAAGAAATTATTTGTTAGTCCGATGACCGCGCCGCGGACGCTCTATGTGTCTGCGTTCAAACTTTTATCTCTAAAAAAACTGAACCAAAGAAAAAATCGCAGCTATAACGCATGAAAAATTATCATAATTTTCAGTCTATCGAATTAATAACTGAAATGACGACTTGAGTTTCAGAGAACACTCATTTTTATTATTATCTCTTCACATCATCTTGCTTCACACTCGTCATGCTTCTATTGGAAGTTCTATTTTATATTTCACCGCGATTACTTGATTGCACATGCTTGTCAACGGCAATTTTCTTCATTTTATTTGAGAATCTGAGTCAATGGTGCTTGATCGGTTACGGTTTATCGTTTTATGTGAGGTAAGTTATGCGGGGTAAAAATTCCAAAGACTATGAATATGAAAAATGTGAAAGAAATTCATAAATTCTTGGAACAGTCTAAATTGTAGAGCTATTTATACCAACTCAAAGATCAAGTTAATCGCTTAGACAACGTGCCAGGCCGTGCTAGCGCCGTGCCAGGGCCGTGTCAGAGCCTGGACGCGTATCGATCTGGCGTCCTCACCAGCACAGTTGCGCCACGGCGCTAATACTATGCTGACACGGCCCCGAGACGCGCTTGCACGGTCGTCTCTGGGGCGAACTCATAGCTGCTGAGATTGATGTGTGTTATATGTTCAATTTTCCGGTATTTGTGTTCGTATTGGCATTTTCCGATATCCAGAAAAAGCCAATTACGTACAGCGTTGGTGTGCCGGCCCGAGCTCTCGTGCTAGTTCGACGATCGATCAATGCGGTGCGGGTCCACGTGGGGCTGGCACACTGGCAACAACTGTGAACGCAGCCTAATCGCCATTATAGGAGATTTCAATCTTTGCTTTTTTTCTCGACGAATTTGCTCCTTCAAATAAATTTTTTCAGCGACAGATCCTTTGTTCTTTCTGTAGCCACAGTAGCTATGGCTATCGTTTGTGCAACGATGAAGCTTTGTCTAACGCATAATACGTCTTCAAATTTGGCCAACTGTGATGTCAACTATATTTCTACAAATGAAGCACTTCTAGCTGCAATAGCCTTTCAGCTGACGTGCTTTATGGTTATGATACTCGTATTTGTCACTATTTTTGTGCACAAGTTCAACGGTCAGTGTTGCACTTTCTCATTGAAATCATTTGTTCATTTGTAAATTGAATAGAAAATCGCCGAAAGGAATAAAAAAGAGCCGTTAGAATTAGAAATTTTCGACGAAAAGTAAGAAAGGTGTAGGTTGAAAGATCTTGAGTACTCATGCCTTCCCTGCTTTATCATCCGTGTAGAATCTGTGTCAGTTTATAGCCTTTTCATAGGCATATTATAGAGCTCGTGACATTTTTCGATCAGCAGGCAATGTTGAATGCAAAGACAAACGCCCGCAAACGCGTCACGAAGGTCTTGCGAAGCGGTCATTACTAAAAACCAGAGGCGTTTGACACAGACTGTAGCCACGGCCCGGCACAGATGGTCTGGGGTCAAACTGTGCTTCGTTTTTAAACTAGAAGCAACGGGGATATCGTTTTTATAAGGTCCTGGGAAAGGATGAAAAAACGACGAACATGTAAGGTTTCACGAGTTGAACGTGTCCTTTCGCAATCGCGCAAATTTCAAACGAAAGACTCAAGCAAGCAAATGGTTTTACAGCGCACAACAACCACATGGCTTCGGTATGTGTATACAATATTACTTCAAATTATGCTATGTAAAAAGTTCAAAAACTTATGTGTCCTAATATCCGTTCCCGAATTTGTTGGTTCTAGACCAACACCAGACCAACTGGGTTGGTGCGGAGCATAAATATCGGAGAGTTCACATAAGTTTTGGCCCTTTTGTATTTGGACAACTAGAACGGTCAAAAACCTATCATATGGTGAAGAGAGCAAATCAAACCATTGCCTCTCCTCTTTTTTGAGCCAAAAGTAGTGTAAATCTATGCGTTGATAGATAATGCGCTTCAATCACACACGGTGTCTTTTGGACTATGTGGCGAAAAATGCATTGTCAGATTGTTGAAGTCACAGATTTGGTTGGCCTAGGAGGTTTTCGATATTCTAAGCACTAAAATGGTATCCTACCCAATGGCAGAAGCTTTGATCAACTCGAAATGTTCTATTTGCTTTTTTGTTATATCAGGTACCTCAAAATGTGCTTTTTTCGCTTTTTATTGTTATTTTGATCAGGGATCCCTACTGATTTTTACGTCAAGAGGGACTTCGCAAATTTTTGCTAAGTCATGGGGGACTTCGTTTCCAAAAATGCTACTAACCACCGCGTGCCCTGGCTGTAGATTCTGAGCTCCACAACGCCTGCTCTTGAGCTATCATTTTGGCTCGAAAGTTCTTGGGCATTTTTAGACCAAATTTGCTGTTTGATAATGCATGCACATTCTTGGAAATTTGCAGCTGCACTGCCTCTCGCCTGTAGCTGATATCTAATCAAATGGGGGGAAGTTAGCAACAATAGGGGCGAAGTTTTCACTCTCTAACTACATCGTTTTTTTCGTTGTTTGAGCTCAAATTCTGCGCAAACCGTGCATGTAAGTATGTAAGTACGTTTGCACTGAAGAAGGAGCCTGCAAATTTGAGTCAAAATTTCGCTCAAAATTTCTTTATCTCTTGCGTTCAATACACAAATGGAATTATACTGATTTCTTCATCTTCTCATTGTAAGTTCGATCTAATAATTGCAAGGAATAATTTTGCACAAGGAGCTATTGTCAAACTTCTCAAACCAAGTTAGATCTCTCAGGGGAAGGAATAGAGAGTTATGGTTTAACACATTCACGACAATACGACCCACCGGTGGGCCGTACGTGTTCTGCCATTTCGGACAATAAGCTTGACAAGGCGAAAAAGGCTCTGGTCTGAAACTGCAGTAATCGAAAAATCGACCTTGTCGTAAAAGTGTTAAAAACCATGCTTCTTTATACGGTACTCTGCACAAGTAAGTTATTCTGTGGACAGTCTAAAAGTATGGAAAATGTACAAGTTGTTAGTCCTTTAAACATTGGAAATCTACATTATCACTTGTCAATACAGTATATGGAGATTTACTTGCACTGATCGTCGTCACTACGATGCGGGGATGAAGTAGCACGAATTTGATTGAAGAGTAGAAAATGCCTTACCGCTTGCTGCACAAGGTCAAAATGTACCCTTTGATTCAACTGGCTTGGCGGCTGGAAGGTGGGCTTCGTGACCTAATCTAAGGCTGGGTAATGATCAGAGAGCACGCGCGCGACAGGGACGCAGACTGCATCGCGCGCAAGCGGCTTTAATTGAGTCACAAAGCCCCGCCTTCCAGCCGCCAAGCCAGTTGAATTAAAGTTCAATTACGTAGGTGAAAAATTAACTAAGGTTGATACGTGCAAAGCGGCATCCTAAATGGCGTGCCAGCTCCGTCAATTATTTAATACTGACTGCGTCCCCGTGGGAGCTGGCACGGCGTGGAAAGGCGCTGGCACGACGCTAGCACACGGGCAATTCTAAACGCGCCTTAAAGTAGCTATCATAAGAACTAAAGATATGAACTACTCTTTATCTCAGACGATCGCGAAGGACGTATAGCAGGTGGAAAAACATCTATGCTTAGCGTAACCATTACCGGAAGCATTGCTCTATTAATAACTGCAGTTTTTGGTGTTGTCGATTATGAGACTGACTTTGATTTGTTCAACTACATCAATTTGGTACGTATCCAATTTCCGGAATTTTTTCAGAAATTTCACGTGCTTTATTTTCAGAGCATAATCTATTCCATACAGAACTGTTTGATCTGCGTGTTGATAAGCCTTTATTGCCCTATTGCTTGCTCTTCGTTCGCAGGATTTCCCCAATTTCATCATGGGTTAAAGGCAAGCACAAGTTGTGTTCGTGAATATTTGTTAATGTTTCTCTGTAAAAATTCTAGAAATCGAAAGTAAACGCAGCGCCTAAACAACAACGCTACTGCTCAATGTCGCTCAGAAGCCATCGTTCACGACCACATCAGGAGACTACAAATACAATATCACAAGAAGAGGTTAAACCTAACGTCGAAGGAATGAAGGAAGAACTTCCGGAGAGAAATTGCTGAGAAATATTGGTCGATAATTCATAATTGTCTAAAGAGTTTCAGATATAATATAATTGATTCGAACCATATTGGTTACAGGTTAAATCGTTCTTCTCCGAAATCCACAAATTTTGTCACTTTGTGAAGAATTGGTACACTAGGCTTCCATCAGTCTCTTTCACCTGCATCCCACCCTCATGTACCATTCCCTTATATACATCGCAGAAAGCAATTTCACTGAAAGTATTTGCTAATTTGAAAACTTTACTGAACTTATTCTCATTGTCAATTTTTCGATTGAAGACAAATCGTTGCTCCCTCCCCCCCCCCGCTAAAGAATCTATCTTTCTTCACTACGATAGGATTACGTTAACAGCTGTCAGAAGAATTTGAGTGCCATACGAGAGCCATATTTGCCCTTATTAAGGAAACCAAACAATCTAAAAAACTCTTACACTAAGTATTAATTAAAGTCGCTAACTTTAAGCATGGCATTCGCTCTCTTAATGCTTACCAAGTATAGATTACGATAGGACCACAGTGCACTGTAATAAGGTTTATTTCAATGTTTCTAAAAAAAAGTGATTACAAGACTCAAAAACTCGAAAATTTCCATAGAATCATGTAATGATATTAGCAGTGGAAACACCGTTATGCGACTTTACTTTTCTCATTACAGCTTAATTAATAGGACCCTGTGTGCTGGTTCTTACCGTAATCCTACAGTAATTAAGAACGATCGGTGGAACACTCCATACTGTACATATACAATACCACCCGTAATTTATGAAAAAAAAATGGCGGCGGCACTTACGGGGCGCCGCCGCAGTTAGATGACAAACGCCGCATCGCGCGACAAAAGTCGGCGGAAAAGCGGCATTTGCCGCCTAACTTTGCCGCGCAACGCCTAACTTTTTTATAAAAAAGACCTTATCTTGATCCAAAATTTATAAATTCCATATATAAGAGTACCATTCAACTCAGCTCGGCGAGGCGCATCTTCCAGTATACAGATGTGCCTAGTTGTGGGATATAAGTTTTTTCTTGGAATTTTAGTGTAAATGGATCATTCAGTGTGCTGATTTCAGAGGCTACATACACATTCTACTGAGCACTGCAGAAATAGGGCAGGTATGGTTTAAGAGCTCATTCTGCATGGATATGTGTGAAACTGGGCTTTTCTCGGCGAAGTATGACGGGTCCCAAAATGCAGGAAGACAAAGGGAAATGCTGGAAATCGCATGATAAGCACATATCGCGGAATTCCGCGCGTGCTGTGCAATGTACAATACCACCCACAGAGCGGGAATTTCGCGAAATTCCAGAAATTTCGCGATTCCGGAATATCGCAAATTATGCAGCGTCATAACTTCCTTCGGAATGAATATATTCTAAATCCGAAAGCAGCACCGTACGTCATGTCATCTATATCGTGTTTCCAGTTTTCTCAAATTTTTCTGAGGAGGTCCCTTTGCAAGTATGTAACGCAGCGCCTATCCAACATAAAAGCTTTCTAAGTACCATTCGATAGTGCTCTTCTTGTACATTATAGCGCTAGAAAGTTGCCGCAGACTTCTTTCCAAAAGAGAAAAAAGCGTTGGTAAATTCTGGAAAAATCACTCGTCTCCAGATTCTACTCGCCGTAACTTTCTTTGGAGTGGATATTTTCTGAATTTGAAAAATGCATTGTGCTCAGCTCATCAAGGCAAATTTTTCGGTATGCCGAATGTCCTTGATATCTCGACTTCAGTATTCTTAAAACTTTCTGCGGACGTCTCTTCGCAAAGGTGTGAAGCAGCGCGTATTGCCCCCAGTAGATTCAGAAAGAAGTTTTCAATAGTACTTCTTCTGAAGATTATGGGGCGCTAGAAATTAGAGGCACACTTCTTTTCAAAGGAGATAGAAGGGCTGGCGAATTCTGGAAATTTATGTCGCTCTAAATTTTTCTCAACGTAACTCTAAAATATGAAGCTCTCTTGCTAAGCAGATGTGATTTTCGTAATCAGCAGGTCGGATAACCCTTATGAGCAAGTTTTCCAAGATGTTCGAGTATTTTCATTTTTCCTCGTTTTACGCTCGGAAGCTCGCCGATGGATTTTGGTCAAAATATTGATGATCTTGAATTGTAAGGGAACCTCGCTTATAGAGGTTTTCGAACACGCTCTTTACGAAAATCGTGGTCTTCAAGGATTACATGTTCTTTTTAGAGAGATACGGTGAGGTGACTGTAACTGCATCACGAAAGTGCGTAACTTTGCCCGCACTTCTCGCGCATCTTTCAGAAAATTCGCCTGCTTGCTTTTATGGCTTAAAGTTGGAGTGAACTGTGCTATCGAATGGTGCATGACTCAAGCTCCAGTCTGTAAAATTCGCCGAGTTACGAGCCTACGAATACACATCCTCATGAATTTTGCCCAAAATGTAAAGATCGCATATCTCGTCGAAATTCCACCGTGAGTGCTTGTTTGACACTCGCATTGTGGATATTGTGTCCACTTCGCCCAAAGACTCCCACTGTATTGAATATGGTACTTGCGTATGCTTCAGCTGCTCAGTTGAATATCAAAGCTATTTCGGTGGCTAGAACTCAAACTACGAAATCGAACACAATAAGATCCATTAGAAATGTGAAAAGATTTGATCGACGTGTTGCATAAGCACTCTCGGTGGAATTTCGACGAATGCGATCTTTAATGCACACTGAATGATCCATTTACACTGAAATTCCAAGAAAAAACTTATATCCCACAACTAGGCACATCTGTATACTGGAAGATGCGCCTCGCCGAGCTTAGCTGAATGGTACTCTTATATATAGAATTCATAAATTTTGGATCAAGATAAGGTCTTTTTTATAAAAAAGTTAGGCGTTGCGCGGCAAAGTTAGGCGGCAAATGCCGCTTTTCTGCCGACTTTTGTCGCGCGACGCGGCGTTTGTCACCTAACTGCGGCGGCGCCGCGTGAGTTGAGTGCCGCGCCATTTTTTTTCACAAATTACGGGTGGTATTGTATTCATTGAAGTAATCTCTACAAAATGATACCTAGAGGTCTGTAAAAAAACCTCATGTATGAGATATTGAAGGTAAAAATTTGTGCATACATTCAGAAAATGCTATATACCCTTCCGACTTCAAATTGCTATTGAATTCGGTAATTCACCATGCATTCAATCCTTTTCCAATGTGTGTGACTTTGAATTTTGAGAAATTGGTAGAAATGGCATCTACATTGTATTCAGCATTCAAAACTCATAATGCTTTTAAATTTTCCCGAGATGCAGAACTCACGTAAATGATCTTGTCATATATCATGCAACCAGGACCTACAAGTTTCCTAGCTTAAATTATTACATGAACCAAACTGTAATGTTGTGTTTTATTTTGTTGATGGAAAAATTTTACCCATTTCCGGATGTTTGAATGAAGTGTACCACTACTGTAGAAATTCCTGGGCACGTCTTGCCAGAGTTATTTTGATTTCGCATTTTGTCATTTCAATCAGGTAATTCCTAAGTGATGAAGTCTGTTGTCTCTTTAGTCGAATATAAAACACTATGAAACCGCTACTGAACTCCGTTATCAATACAAAATTTAGCAAGTAGTAGTTAGAATGACCGAGAAGGAGGAAAGCATTTAGAGAAGAATAATTCCCATTTTAGAATAAAAACCAACAATAAGATTCGCCCTATATGTATCATTCAATCTCTGACTAAGAGACACGAAACGCATTTGAGTACGTTTGATGAACAAACTCATGAGCGAGTGTGTTTTGGAATTTACTATTAGGAATTTGTGAAAAAAATGTTCGATTACTGCTCAACGAGCTCGAACATGTTCTTTCAGCTTCATGGTATTAAATCAACCAAAACGCGTTGGAACTCACATGAACTTGTTAAACGTACGCAAATTATGATGTGCCTCTTAGTCAGAGAATTAGTGAAATTCAGTTTGCTCTCAATGAATTTTCCATTTCATGCTTCAGCATTCTACCAAATGGTCCACAAAAATTGTTCGAGTACTATTTGTACTTTTCCACTGCTTGTCAGTGTCTAAATTATGTAAATTTGTCAAGAACACGGAAATCAGAACGGAGTTTATCCACTCGTATATGTTCGGAGCCCAGTGCCTCCGTAATCTGTCGTCACATTTCCGAGAAACGTCTAAGGTGGGACTCGTACCAAGCATGAAGTAGGTCATAGTTCCGCAGTTGCACACTGCGCTAATCACACCGACTTCCCTTATGGCACGCAGCTAGCACAAATCGGTGTGTTCTTTGTCAGCAAGTCTTTCCAGCTAATTCAAAACAACGGAGCTTTAGACTCAAAAATTGACAAGAATTTACGGCTAGGATTCTTTGGTCTGTCATCAAAGTAGCGAAGGAATAAAAAGGCTTTCTTTGGTATCCCACGGAATTCAAAAGTATGAGGACCAGAGATAGAAATCAAGCTCCATGGTTTTGACTAAGAATGCGCTTCAAACTTAAACGGACCGAAAATAGAATACCTTTAAAGGCTATATTGACACTTCATTTTCATCTGATATGCCCACCCATTATTTCAAACCGCTAAAATAATCACTTTAATAAAGGCGAACTAGGTATATTAGGGGCATAACCATAGATCCTTCTATATATATATTAGGTCATTCCGAAAGTAATTTCGCTTTTTTCAAACGGGCGGCACATCTGATGGCACAAAGTTCTAAGAGATCTTGGTAGCATTCGAAACAGCATTTCGTTCTCTTTGTAATGGTTACGAAATTGTTGCAAAACAGTCAACGAGCTTTCAGAAAATAACCAAAATCTGCGACCTATGCTTTTTGAGATAGTCAAGTTTCACAATTTTTTAAAGCTTTCGTATCAATTTTCAGA